TTCAATACTATTCTTGGACAATTCATTACTCACTGTACAGAGGTCAATGTGGACATGCCTTGTAGGGATTTATGATCATTTTGAATCTAGTGTGTAGCAACTTAACAGGTAACAAAACAAACAAAGGGCTATGATGCCAAGTGGACATGGAAGATTTTAAATCAGTTTTAACCAGTTGTCCTGGTCTTTTTGAGTAGGAATGGCTCCCTTCTCCCTGTTATACTTCAGGGTTTTGGCCAACATTACAAACTGTTATTGTGCTCATGCTAGTTATCATGTATGGTATACCTACCTAGGAGAGGGAAACATGGAATCAGCATTATATCACTCAGCTTGATTCTTCACAACTCTACAAATAGTCAGTCACATCCTCCAGTGATAGCTAGTGCTAAGGCAGTACGTTTTGCCTCCAGACTAGTAACCTGAACCCTATATAGTTCATGCAGTCTGGAGCATGTTTCATGATAAGTCACAATAGCCATCACTAGAGATTGCACAATCCAATGTTTTGCAACTTGGAAAGATGATGATATGTATCCTACTGGCAGATAAAATAAATCTTCAGGAAAAATAAATGCATAGGCCCCTGCTACACATTACATATATTAATCAGGTAAGTGGTTAATCGTGAATAAATTTAGACAGGCCACACATGCAAAGTAATTGTCACAGCATAAAAATGACCATTCAGTTATAAAAAGAGCCAACCAGCTACAAAGTTAGTGCTTGAAAATTTGTAACAACTCTGTTGCTGGTTTCTATCCAGCTTTCATTTGGGCATGTGGCGGGGCCCATAGAAAAAGTAAGAGGACTGCAAACAGATGCTGGCCAGGCCTGAAGTAATAATGGAACTGTCACATAAAAATGCAGAAGTTGAAGAGCATAACTAACTGGCTTTAAAGTCATGAGTGTCTTACTGCACATCTTGAAATGAAGATGAGTGGTTTTTTAATGAATTATAAACTTCATGGTTGATTAAACTTCTACAGCAAAATTCTTGAAAGAAAAGTGCTATGGAAAGAAAGACTTGAGCCATGTGTAGTAACAAATGAGTAGCCTGACTTTTCACTCTTTGAACTTTGGGGACACTGATACTTATATACTCTGTACAGCCTCTACACTAGATCAGTCCTAGCATATCACACATTTCTCTACCCCACATAGAAAAAACAAGAACACAAGCTTACACATCATTATATGAATGGAAGCCAAATTTAACATGAGAAGATTGAATGGAAGGATTCTATCAGAACATAAGCTAGGAAGAGTCCCATTAAAATATTGGTAACAGCAGATGCCTATTAGATCAATGCCAGTAAGTTAAATATTAACCCCAAAATGAAAAAAATTACCTAAGCCCACTGTACAATATAGATCTTATACTTGCAAGCACCAGTCCTTACCAGTGTGTAGTACCCAGTCATCAAGCATGTACCTTGATGCCCACATTAAAAAAGTTTCATTTTCAAACCTTATTTTTTGTATTACACTTCTGATAAATACCCATTCAACCTCACAATATGTTTCCACTTGAAAACCTTATATTTTACTTTTTTAAACCTTCTCTCTCAGGCTTTATAAAATAAAGCAGATTCCCTAATAATCAGTGTTGGTATTCTTTCCCATGTGTAGTCACATTCATCTCCTCTAAGGAAGGTATATCTTATTAACATGCACCAATAATTTTGGAACAGATATGTTTTTATTATCTGCCTAATAAATCTTTGCTATTTGCCATTTTTTTCTTTTCTTTTTTTTCTTTTTTTTTCTTTTAGCCAGGCCTTTTATTATTTATGCATATTACTGTATATGAGTGCTGTGAAAATATTCTGCCTATGGACAGATGATAAGTCAAATGCAGGATGTTCTTATTGAAGATAAAATTACTACCTTTAGTCCCTGATTCAGTAAAAAAAGTTTAAACAAATGCTGACTTAGCCTAAAATTCATCCTTATGCTTATCCCAATTCAGGTGAAATAGGAACCTAGCAGAAACATGAGTGACAAAATATATTCTTCCCTGCTCTATTACCTATTTAATTTAAAAGAAAAAAAGAAAACCTGCTGCAAGGTTGATGCCTGTATATAAATGTTATGAGTTACAATATTGTGGTAATCATACCAAAAAAAATACCTAGGTATTAGGGGTGTGCAAAGCGGGCCATATTCGATTCTGATTTGGCCCAATTCGGGGGACTGCGATTCAATTTGTTGATTCGAATCACTGTCCCAATTCAATTCAGCTGAATTTAAATCTGAAGATTTGATTCTGATTCAGAGAATCAGTGATTCATCCATAGACACAGCTTTAAATGTTTTTTCTACATACCTCCAGGTACCAGGCATGGCTTGTGAATGCTGAAATGGTGTGGTGGATGCAGCATCCCACAGGAGTGGAAGTGCCCCCCCTGCATGCTCAGCAGCAGACCCAGAAGAGGACCAGAAGTACTTCCAGTCCACTTCCAGGTCACCCGCTGAATGCATGGGGGACCCCTGCCCCTGCATACCCCCGGCTTGGTGATCAGCTGCAGGGAGACTCCAGGTGCCCACCCAGACCCAGGAGGCACCAGTCACTTTTGGTCCACTTCTGGGTCCACTGCTGAGCATGCTGGGGATCCCCCACCATGCTCCCATGGGATGCTCCATCCGCCCCACCTTGAGCCACCTGGTACCTTGAGGTATGTAGAAAAAACATTTAAAACTGTGTCTATGTCAGAATAACTGAATCTCTGAATTGATTCGGAGGGTTCCCATTTGATTCAGAGAGAATAAAGGGTCTCCTGATTTGATTCAGATTTAGAGATTAGGCCACCGAATCAGGCCAAATCTCCACCAAATCGAATCAGTGACTGAAGCTTTGCACAGCCCTACTAGGTATGTATGAAAACCTAACTGTATAGCTTTGATCCAGTTAGGTATATGGAGACTTTGAAATGTATAATTCTCTGTATTTACTGCCTTTAGGCCTTACTGAAGTTATCCAATCAGTGAGTACTTTAGTCAATAATACATAGTATGTAACACTGAGATGTGAGATTCATCTCTTGTTGCTGTATTGCTTCTAATAATCTACTTCCTGGCCTTTTCATCTCTCAGTGCAGACAGAAATAACTCTTGTAACATTTCCAAGTGTACTTGGAAACATTTTTAAAGAGCTGTGTCTCAGATGGAGAGGAGAGGTTAGTAAGGTATTGCGGGCCATGTGGGGGACTATAGGGGTCTGTGGAAGCAGGGTCTCCCCGCTGCTAGGTTTGCAATTTGTAGGAAACGTTACATAAACCTCTTCTCTTCCCCTGTCACCAGTGGGAGTGAGGAGACTGGGGTGGGAGAGCTCAATGGCCTGGTGGCAGCAAGGGGCAAGACAGAAGGCATGGTCCTACTAGGGACTGGCAATGCCTCAAGCCCCGGCAGCACCCTGAGCACTGGAACAGGATGCTATGGCTTGGTAGTTTGGCAGGCTGTCAGTCCACCCTGCTCCCTTCCACCACTCTGGAAAGCTATAGGATTTTGGAGGAACCATGGATCATCTATCCCCATGCATTCATTATAAGAAATTAAGTGTTCCAAAGTAGTACCACATTTGTGCAGGTGGCCCTTGAAAGCGTATCAAGGGCATTTGAAATGTTTCAGTTGTTATTTCTGTCCACACACTTTGTAATAGTTATGCAAATGTATTGGGCGGGGGTTGGGATCTATAATATGCTGTTTTATGAAAAGACTGCAGTTTTTAGTCTATGATACGACTTAACCATTAATTTAACAGTTATTTATTTTCCTTAGTAACCTTTAAAAGGGGAGGGCAAGCAAAATATATCTGGCTTGTAAATTACATATAGTTTTCATTATCAAGAGATTGAGTAACACTGTACGAAATTTGCATTGTTATTTCCAAAAACCCCTGACAGATGTTCATTTAAAGGCTTGATGGGATGTGATCCCTGATCCCAACAGTCATGCCTCTTGCCATGCCATGTGCATGGCACACGGTACAACTCTGAGATTGGGAATCATATCCAAATCACACCATATGTGCCAACTCAGGGAGAGCTGATTCTTGGCCCCCAGCCACACCTTAAATTTAAGGTGCCATGCAAACAAGAGATAGACAGATAGATAGATAGATATGGTAGAACATATTCATACAATGCTGGACATTTTTATGACTTGTTCCTCATTTTACAGCTCATTGAACTGCGTGCACATAGAGCACCCTTCCTATTTACACTGAAATTAACATGTTAAGCTGTTAAATATGTGTAAAGGGGGCCTAAATGAAAGCTTTTTTTCTTCTTTAATAATTCTTAAAAGTATTCATGAAGCATGGACTTTGACATGACAATCAATCCAGATTTCTTTTTATATGTGGCTATTTCATTTCAAGGTCTTCTCATTGCATTGATGGGTTGTATGTGCGGTTTGCTTGTGCATTGAATTGTAACCCAAAGGATCTCTGTTGAGTATGAGATGCAATTTCTTTCTTTGAGACATCTGTTCTAAAAATAGTAGTTACTTGGAGTGGTTATAATTAAATATAGGCAAATGGAAATTTCAGCCTGAAAGACCAAAGGTAATTAGAGTGGACATAATGTCTTCTATAATTTTGAAAAGCATACAGGCTGACTTTCAGAGTGCTGTGTACTCACAATTGCAATTGAAATTAATGGAAGCTTTTACTAGCTCTTTCAGCAATATCTAGTCTAGTTTCCATGAACAATACTGAAGGGTATACACTAATGTATGTCTGGCAAGTAAAATCTGACTTATTTTACTTCCTCTTGATTCCATTTGTACATATATGCACACATTTCTAGATAGATAGATAATATTTCAGAAAACATATATGCACAAATTTTGGAATATATGTGTTGAGAATCAATACACTGATGGTCTTTTCTACTGAAAGGGGAAGTAGTTCAGGATTGGACAAGAATAAATTTGTCCCAACCCAAGTAATGTTCAGTGTTGTCGTTAGTAAAAGGGTCATTTCTTTTTGTTCTTAGGTATAAAGCAATAGTGAGACCAATGGATATCCAGGCCTCCCATGCGTTCATGAAGATTTGTGTGAAAGCTGCTATGATTTGGATTTTATCCATGCTGCTCGCCATTCCTGAAGCTGTATTTTCTGACATGCACCCTTTCCATGATAAAGGCACTAACAAAACATTCATCAGTTGTGCCCCCTACCCACATTCTGATGGCCTGCATCCAAAAATTCATTCAATGGCTTCATTTCTGATCTTTTACATCATCCCCTTGTCAGTCATTTCAGTTTATTATTATTTCATTGCTAAAAATTTGATCCAGAGTGCTTACAACATGCCCGTGGAAGGAAATGTCCATGTGCGGAAACAGGTATGAATTTACTTCTAATTGCAAGAGTGACATGTTGCATGCCCAGGAGTTGGAGTGATCTGAAACTTGTATCTTGTACAACGAATTTTGCAATAAGAGGGCATAGATCTCTTATGTTAATACTGGTGGCATAAATAGGTCAGAGGTGTGAGAATATGACCTTGTCATTGTACAACATGAATCAGTTAAACTGGTTTGGGACTCTGAATACAGATACGTAAGCCTGGTTGGTTACCATGGCAAACACAGTAGGAAATATATGCCGGAGTTTGGAAATTTATTGACTAGGATACGTAAAGGGAAAAGAATCAGAGCAAGAAAAGTGTTTTAAAATTGAAATCTAGTGGCTATACAAAGAAAACTTAATTAAAAATTATCAAAGCCCCCTTTTCAGAGATAGGATATCCGTTAAAGTCTTATATTCTGTCAAGCCATCCAGAGAGAAAAAAGAACTACAACTCAGATCTGTTTTCAGTTCTGAGTTGTAAAGGATAGTCACTGTCTTTGTTATGACAAAACAGACATGTAAAAATAAAGGGGAAGAGGAAGCAGGGCAGTAAATATGGGGGAAATTCTACCTTTTTATTGACATTCTCATGATACAAAGTGGCCAGTCAGTTATTGAGTGGTGCTGTGGCCTGCTAGAGTGCTGCTGCTCTGGACGTGTGCTTGCTTGCCTGGTCTTGAACATTACGTGGCTGTTCGGGTCAGATCCCTCCCTTTGACAAGTCTTCTTCTGGCAGGGCAGGATGGGCTGTTTCCTTATGGGGTGCACTGCAATACAGTTGGAATTGCAGAGAGAGAATGAGAGGAATAGAGGACAGGAGGAGGGTAATAGGCAACAGAAAGGAATATTTGAGGGAAGGGAAGACAGAGCTGGGTCTCTGTGGGATCCTTCTAGGTGCAGTGGTGTTAATCATGCATCCTCTCTGGTGTGTGGAAGTTGGGGCGTCACAATGATGCTGTGATCTTCAAGGCCACAGATAAACAAAGGAGAAATTCCCGAGAGCAAAGGGAAGACCTGACAGCCCTTATTCCTCTTATGGGAAACCTTCAGTTCTTCATTCTTCCCTCCAAGTAACTTTTCCTAAGGAACACAAGAGGAGGTTATATGAGAAATAGCCCAGCCCCTTATTATTCCTCTACTAATTAGTCAAATTTCCAACACACCAATTTTGTTCCCTGCATTTGTAGTAAGAGAGTGTGAACTTAATTTGACACGATAAACCCCAACATGGTTCATGCCAGAGTTTATTGCTCCTGGGTACAGCATTTACACATGCACCTGGGACCAAAGCATGTTGAGCCAGGGCAGAGCAGCCCTGACTGGCAGAAGGTCCTGGGAGTCAGCTCCTGCTCAACATAACATGCTGTGGAGGAGCTGGCTGGGGCATGAGGGTGCTACAGTGTGAGGCTAGCCAGCAGGCAGCTCTGTACTGTGCACCCTTATGTCCCAGTCAGGCCTGGTCACCGTCTACATGTGTGTTGTGGTACAGTAAATAACTTTGTCATAAAGTAGTACTTGTGTTGGGCAGTACTATCCTAGGGCAGAGTTAATTAGTTTAGTCTGGCCTAATAGCACCACTCATGTATACGATAATGCTTTACTGTGGAGCTACTTAGGCAACTCTATGATAGTGTATCATGTAGATACTCCCACATGCTTCTCTTGTATACCAGGCATGATCTCAATATACTCCTGCTTTATATCTTGGATAGGCTCTTGGATTTGGACAAATTCAGTCTCTTTATTTCCATTTTGTCCTTTCCTACAAGCTGTTATTGTTAACAGTGGAGAAATGTTTTATAAACCTTCATTTGGTGTCCTATAGCTGAACTCACTATTGAGGCAAACAAGCTAAGACCCAATTAATATAGCAGTTCTCTGCTCACATTTAGTGGTTGGAGATGTATTGGTCTAAGACTGATCCAGTGAAAGAGGGCTTAACCTTAGTCTAAATGAACAATTTACACTGGTTTAACTTGGTTTTTAAAATGATACAAGCATGTGTGGATATATCTATTTGAGAAGGGGGGTGGTTTGACTTATATTTGTTCCCAGTTGACTTAAACTAAGGTGAAGCAACCAATTCTTGTTCCAGAGCATGTATAAATTCATAGAATCATAAAAAATAGGGTTGGAAGGGACCTCAGGAAGTCATCTAGTCCAACCCCCGATCAAAGCAGGACCATTCCCAATTACATTATTTGCGCCAGGGCTTTGTCAAGTCAGGCCTTAAAAATCACAAAGGATGGAGATTCCACCACCTCTCTAGGTAACTTGTTGCAGTGCTTCACCACCCTCCTAGTGAGAAAGCTTTTCCTAATATCCAATCTAAACCTCCTTTGCTGCAACTTGAGATGATTGCTCCTTGTTCTGTCATCTGCAGGGATCCTGTTTTTTTCTTTTTAAAAATCACACATTCTCTGATAAAAAACCCAAATCTGTAATTAAAATGAAATGCCACTATGTATAGGTATCAATTGATCACAATGTTTTATTGATATATTTACAATTTTAAAGAAATTTGGAAGCCTACTGGTGCCTCAATCACTATAATAAAATAAATTCTAAGTACCTATAAATGTTGGTATTTGATTTTGGGTTTTTTATCATGGAAATCTGAGCTCCGCCTACCCCTTTCGCTCACCAGGAATGAGGTCCAGGCTCCTAACTCCGAAGCCACAGCCCCCCAGCCCTGTTTGTGCCCTTCTCTCCCCATCCATATGCTCCTTGCCCCACTGGTGACCCTCCACACCCACAGCCCCCCAAGCCCTGCTAATGCCCCTGACTCCCCCCCCACAACCTCCCCACAGCCCAGATGGTTCCCCTGACTCCCTCGTCCCAGCCCTGCCAGAGCGGGCCCCCAGCTGCCAGGGCTATGGGGCAACGGACCCAGGTCCACAGCCTCCTGCCCTCCACAGCAGCACCTGAACCCCAGCTGCTGCCCACGGGAGGCAGTGACTGCTACAGCAGAGTGGAGTGTAGAGCCCAACTCCCCCTCCTCCACAGGCAGCATGGCCCATCATGGGGGTGGGGGCAGGTGCAGGCCGCCCCTTGCAGGGTTGGACTCCATGCACTGC